TATCTCTCATGCTCTCGATGACTTTAATATAACGCTTATATATCTCAACCGTACAATTGTGCATTACTGAACCCAGAAGTAGTATTACTGAACCAGTGAGTTCAAGCAGCGGGTGGGGCTGGCACCCCACTCCCCCTTGCCAACTTTTAATTTAATACTACATTAATGACCTAGGGAAATGTTCATAATGAAATATTTATAAAGCACCACATAACTTTTGAAGACAGCTTCAATCCTATCAGTTAGGATCTAGCTGGATACAGCTTAAAAGCGACCAGTGACGTGCAGGTGTGCTGACACGGGAGGAGCGTGGTAAGAAAACACAGAACAGGGACTACCTGCAGAACAGCAGGCTCTCCCAGACGGCAGCCACTGACCACACGTGGCGACGTGGAACGTGGCAGCCCATACAGTGAGGTGTGTTCAGTTTAAAACACACCCAATTTAAAAAAATAAAATAAAATAAAAACAACAACAACAAATAAAATAAAAAAAAACAAAAAATAAATAAATAAATAAGTAAATAAAACACACCCAATTTCAAAGACGACCGACCATCTCATTAGTAATTTTTTTCACTTTGATTTCAGGTGGAAATAGTAATACTTTAGATGGTCTGGAATAAATCAAACATTATTAAACTTAATTTCACCTGTTTCTTTTCACATGCATGGGGTTTTCTGTTCTGTTTTGAAGGTAGTTATTGGTCAAAATTACATCCACCTCAAATTTATGTTGCTGTCCAGAGAACTCGGCCTTGTTTGGAAATGAGGTCTTGGAAAAATGTTGTCGGTTAAACTAGCAGGAGATAAAAGAACAGGAGTCCAGGGGTCCTGATCCTGTATGAGTGGTGTCCTCTAGCAGACAAGAGACACTGAGACAGGGAGGTGCCTGGGAGCCACCAGCTGCCAGGTGAGAGGCATGGAACAGAATCTCGCTCAGAGACTCAGAGGGGATCGAACCAGCTGACACCCTGCTCTTGGACCCCCAAGCCCCAGAACTGTGAGCTGACGTTTTCTGTCCTTAACACCACTTTGCGGTACGTTATCACATACCGTAACGAGGACGCGTGGCTACCAGAGAAGGCAACGCTCCGTGAGGCTCGCACCGCCAGAGCTGCCCCTCCGAGCAGAGCACGGCCCCGTTTCAGTTCAGTGCTGGGCCTGAGCATCTGGCCCCGTGCCTGGCACAGAGTGGGGGCCCCACAAATTAAATCCTGGGGGATGTTAAAGCAGAACCACAGTGGGACTCTCTCTCTCTGCCATCGAGTCCGTTTCTACTCCTAGTGAGGACAGGGTCGAACGGCTCCTGTGGCTTTCTGAAGCTAACTCGCTGTGGGAGTAGAAAGCCTTGTCTTTCTCCCAAAGAGCAGCTGGTGGTTTCGAACCGCTGATCTTGTGGTTAGCAGTCCAATGTGTAACCACTGTGCCACCAGGGCTCCTAGTGAGATACACCTGGGAATAGGCTTGACAGATTATTTCTCTCCATGAGGATTTATTCATCTCTGCAGCAAATATAACTGTCAATGGGGTGGAGCAGACAAGGGGCGATGATCTCGAAACTTCTTAGCCGTAACCAACCTCCTTGAGGGGGTGAGTCGCTGGGCCAGGGAGTTCAGGATCATAGGGGGCACCAAGGCCAACAGGCAGGTGTATTTCCTATTATAATCTAGTACTAGAAGGTCCTGCGTTGGTGAGTGTAGACCTGAGATCTCAAAGCTCACGCGCGCGACGTTGGAGGTGAAAGGACTCATCTCTCCCACCCCGAGGAAAGAAGAGTGAAGGAAATCAATGACACAGGGAAACAACAGGTCCAGTGGGCTGCTGGACTGCGAGAACCTCAGGCCCCACAACCCTGAGACCAGAAGGTCAGATGGTGCCCGGCCACCCCCACCTCCCACCCCCACAGTCCGGACAGAGATCCAATGAGAAGGTCCTGAAGAGAGTAGGAGTGAACTACAGAGCAAACCTCAAACTCGTTTGTACAAAAGGCTTCTTGGTTGGATAGAAACAAGTGGGACTTGTACGGTTCTGGCCACAAAAACAGTGGTGGTCTAGTGAGCTAAACAGCGGTCCCCCAGAAGGTCTGTCCGTGCTCTAATCCCTGGAACCTTAATTGGAAAAAGGGATTTTGCAGACACGGGGAGAGAAGAGAGGAAGGGGAAGAAAAGAGAAGAGAGAAAACACTGAGGAGGTTGGAGGAGAACCTGGATCAAGCCGCACCTGAAGCTGACCTTGTGCCCATGCTGGGTCAACGAGTGTTTCTACCAAGCAAGTGCTGACTGACGAGAAACACTCCAGAGGGGCAGAGCCAGACACTGTGAGGTCCCCCGGCATTTGCGGTCCTCAACTCTAACAGGGGACCTTTGGGAGACAAGGCTGTGGCACGGGCCGTGTGGCAGAGCAGGAACCACGTGTGGGCACCGCCTGCGAGTCCTGAGGAGGAAAAGCCTGGCCACTCACCTGTGGACTGTGCTTCTCCCACAGGGCCGGGATGAGTCTCTGGACTGTCTTGTACTCGACGGGGATCTCGTACACATGCAGGTCCACACTGTCGCCCAGGCCCAGCTTCTCCAGCTCCTGGAAGTGAGAGCAGACAGAGCCCTGCAGTGTATGGTGGGGATCAAACTCCCCCTGAAGACAAACCAGCCAGTCCTCAGAACAGGGTGGCCTCCCAACTCTTCCTGCAGAGCCAGGGGGGACCCACTTGCCTCCAATTCTGCCAAGACTGGGCCTCCCAGGTTTACCCCGGCGCTGCTGACTGACGCGGACCGGTGCACTTGGACAGGGTGTTGGCGAAGAACACTGCAAGTACCTGGGACTGCCTGCCTCGGAAGAAAGCACCGCCAGATGCCCTTAGAGCAGAGGCTGGCAGCACAATCTACCCAGCAGGGTTCTCATGCAGAAATGAGGGGAGGTCAGGATTTTCCCGGATATGCAGAAATGAGGGGGATTTGTAAGCACCAGACCCAGCCCTACAAGAACTGAAGAAGTTCTCTAGGAAGAAAACATGACACCGGCCTACAGACCCCAAGTGTTGACGAGGAGCATCCAAGCCCCTGGACACGTGCAAAGATAAACTCACAAGTGTGGGGTTATAAAGAGCGTTCCCCAGCTTTGTCTCCCCCAAAGCCATGCCAAACACGAGGGGCTTTTTGCCAGCATATGGGGGGAGGTCAGCTGCTTAGAGACAGCCTCCCCGAAGGCAGTCAGTTGCCAGACTACCTGGCCACCACAGGTAGGCCCTGCTCTCTGCTGCTAAGGACAATGGGCTACTTCTCCCCAAAGGCTTCGGACCATTAGCCTGGTCCCCGTAGGTGGGGTTTATACCCTACTGATAATGGTTTCTATGGAGACCAGATCAAACCAGCTCAGTTACATCCAAAGTCAGGCTGCCATCCTGAATCTAGGATCCGCCCTTCTTGTCACATGTGTGCCCCTATTCCTTCCCCTTCCTATTACATGGATACCCCTAGACCACCCCCTCCCATTGCTGTATAGCCTATAGCACAACCCTTTCCTGTGACGTATGCCTTTACCTGTAATTAGGGGGCTTACATGCCCCCCGAAGGTATATAGGCCTGAGTTAGCAATAAAGGGCTCTCTGAGGCTCCCCTCTTGGCCTCTCCGTGTAGGTTCTCCTCCCCTCTCCTGTCCTCCTTCCCCTCCCCCTATCTCCATCAAGTGGGGCTGAGCTGAGCATGCTACCATGAATTGTGTCTGACTCCATTAATTCAATCTCTCTTCTAGCTCTCATGCGCTCTATGACGTTACTATAATCTTTACTCATTGTCGCTGTACAATTGTGCTGATGATGTGTGAGGGGCTGGTTAACCCTGACACACAACGAGATTCTAGGGAATCTGGGCTCGACGACAGTAACGCAAAAACAAAACGAGGGGGTTGGTGCAGATAAGACCTTTCACGTGTCAAAGGGGGAATCTAAGTGATTTGGTGAAAAAGAGGCTCAAAAAAATACTAACAAGGGGAAATCTATTCCTAAAACACTCAACTTGTAAGATGGAGGGCAA